GTCCGGGCCCAAAACCCCCCCCCCCCACCCACATTTTTTCCCCCCCACACCCCCCTTTTAATGAAGACACTTTTACCCTCCGTTTTAAAAGCCCAGCAATCCCACCCCCCCTTATTTTAACGGTAACTTTACCACACCCTTTTAACCAAATCACAGCCGAACCCCACAAGAAAAAAAAACCCTTTCCTAAGTATGTTCGTTTTTTCTGCCCAGTTAAGGGAACACGGCTGCCACTGCCAATACTTTGCTAACAGTAAGCATTAACAAAAAGGAAACGCTGAAACAAGGGTCAAATATAAGGTGCAATCCCACCCAAGCGTCCCTGAACCCTTTTTCTACCACCCCAAAGCGATTTTTTCCAAAGCGTCCACGGGAAAGATCGCTGCATAAATAAACCGAAATTTTTTAAAACGAATCCCACCTGCCTCCCACAACTGCACTCCCCCAATCAACCCTACCCCCCCCCAAAGCTCCAAACCCCCCAGGGACCACGTTTTAAAACCCTAAATTTACCCTCAAACCAGTTGCCCCTGCGAAACATTTGTACAACCCCCCCCGTCAAATGTGTCCATTGCCATCCCCCCCCTGATCAAACAGGGGTATCATCCAATACCCAATTAAAACGGGAAAACCCCCCAATCACCCCCCCACCCGGGTTCCCGTCACGTACCCAAAACGCGGCCCTCAATCTAAAAAAGGGGTCCTGTAGGGCACGCAAACAAAATTGTAAACTTAGGAAAAAACCCCTTTCCCAAAGTCCCCCTACCCATTAAAAATTTTTCCCACCCAAATCGACCATTAACCCTTTTCCCCCTCCCATTGCACCTCCATACAACGCCTAAAACCCCCCCTTTTTTCTTCCCCAAACCCCTGAACCCCGGGGTTTGGCTTTCAATGTTTTTCCGACCCCACTCTATCGAATCCCCTTCCCAAACAAAGCGCCCCCCAAAACCCTCCCTCCCTCCCCCCCCCGCCTTTTGCCCCCAAACAAACCCCAAATAACCCATGCCCCTCCCCCAAAAGACCCCCCTTTGGCAAACCAAACTGATTTTTAAATACTCCCCCCCCCCCTACCACACACTTGACCCGTTTTCCCCAAAAAATCTTCGAAAACAATTTAAAATCGCGCTTTTAAAAAACAGATCCCCCCGATAATCCCCCCAAGCGTATGCCGCCCCTTACCCTTCGGTACCAAACAACGACAGCCGTTGCCTCTTCTCACCCCCGCTCACCTCTCTCCTTCATGCAATTTAATAACCTTTCCAAAAATGCCTCAAAAAATTCCCCCAAAGCTGGGTGATAAAAAATTCCGCCGGGGGTCCCCTCAAAGGGCCCGGGCTTTTTCCCTTTCGCAAATTTCCCCTTAAAGCCCTCCATATTTCCCCCTCCGTTAAATTTTTCCCCCCCCATGCTTTCCCCATCACTGTTTTAAACCCCCTACAAAAACCCCACCCCCCCACACCGTTCTAAAAACCCCCCCCTCAACCCCCCCTCGTTGCCGTAATTTTCCCAAAACCCCCGTCAGCAAACGCCCCCCTTCCTTTTTCCCTAGCTTTTAAGACCCGCCCCTCCTGTACCCCCCTATCGATTCAAAAACTCCCCCCATGGAATAGTCCAAAAACCGCTGTCTTTGTTTTTTTCCCCAAAGCAAAACGCACGATGGGAAGGGCTATCGCCCCATAACACCTCATCCCACCCCCGCCTGTAAACCCCACCGCTTTGGGAAACCCCATCCTGTACCTCACGCAGCCCCCTTTAAAATTTCCCTAATTTTTATCCATTTGGGTAAGTTCCCGCCACCGCCCCCCCCTCCCCAAAACCCAAACCCCCCAAAACTATCCTCCAAAAAAAGTTAGGGGAAGGCCCCTATTTTTAAAAAAATGATACGTTTCCCTTCCTTTACTTTAAAATTGCCCTTTAAACCCCTTTTTTTACCAACCAAACCCTCCCACCACACACCACAACCCTACCCCTTTTATCTCGCACGAACCCCCCCCCCCCAGCGTCGCAAAACCCTCTATCCCCCCCCTCCCTCACCTAACACCTTTAAATTTAAATTTTCCAAAAACCCCTTTAAAAAACCTGCTAGGACTCCCAAAGCCACCTTTTGCAAATAACCCCCCCGCCCAAAGAATTCCCCAATAAGCCACTTCTATTGTACGGAAAAAAGCCAAACCCAAAACCCCCTTTAGATATAACAGCCTATCCAACCTAGCAGCGTAACCCCTTTTTTAAAAAAAAGTGTGCCCCTAAACCCCCCACGCCCCTCCTCCAACCGCAACCCCCAACTGAAAAAAATTTCCCCCAAAAGTCTCGCAAAAGGCCCCCCGACAACGTTTTTCCCCCCCCTTTTTTTTCCACCCCGTCAGCCCCCTAATTTCCCCAGTTTCCCGTCGGGCCCCCAAAATGGCCCCTGCAGTAAACCACGGGGAAAAAGAAAACCGGGTTTTTCACATACAAAATCCCTTTTTTTTAACCCTCACATTTATTTCCCTGGTCATACACACTACAAAGGGTACCCCGCTGTCCCACCACCACCCATCCACGGCAAAACTCTTCCCCCTCCCCCCCCCCACCCTTCAACCCAAAAAAACCCGGGGTTGCCCCCCTGATCAAATACCCCCACCCCCTTTTGACGGCAATGGGAGAGCATGACCTGAAACCCCTCCCCCTCGACACTCTTTCCCCCCTTGAAAATTTTGTTTCTTTTCGGGAAAACTACATCCACCCCCAATTTTAAAAAAGAAAAATTCGAAAAACCCTTCCTTCCCTTCCCCACCAATTTTCACAGTCCATTTTAAAGTTCACAGTCATACAAACCCAAGCCCCCATTTATAGTTTTCCAAAACCCCTTTCCCCCCTTCCTTCATCCCCGGGGCCTTTCCTGCCCCAAGCCAAACACAAGGCTTCACACCATAAAACCCCCCCCCCCTTTTTTGCGATTTCCCCTTATCGTGACTGCTTTACATTTCCTTCCTTTTCCCCCCAGACCTCTGGGCCCGGCTTCCCGGACATCATCTGAGTCTGACGCCGCCCCCTCTCTTCCTCGTGAAAGGGCCCCCCCCACTTCCATGTTTTTCTTCAGGGGGTTCCCTCCCCGATGAACCTCTACCCCCACCACCCCCGTACCACAGCAAAACGGCGACAACTCCTCTTACTAGTTTTGGGCCCCAAACCCGCTTTTGGGTTTTTTTTTTCCCTTTCATTTCCCTTTCAGGGACCGCCCCTTTTCCCACCCTCAGGAACCCCCGTCCCCTGCAGGCGGTGTCAATGTCCTTTTAAAAATTTCCCAAGCTCTTCCTCTAAGCCTGCACCTCCTCCTGCACCTTTCACTCTGTACTTTTCCTGTGAGTAGTAAAAAATCCTTTTTCATCACACTTACCTCCCAACATGCCCTCCCCCTTTTGGGAAACCTCCCCCCTTTCCCCTTTACTCCACAAGCGCCCAGGGGGCCCGGCTTGCCACGGGCTCTCAACAGCTATCCCCGTTTGGGAAATGGTCTTTAAACCCGTTTGCGCTGGCCCCTCCCACTTTACGCACTTTTGACTGGGCCCCAAAGGGGCGTACGCCCCACATATTCTGCACCCTAAAGTCTCTGGGCCGGGTTTTCGATACCAAACTTGCGTCCCAAGTCCTCCAAAAACACGTAAGACGGTATTGGGGTTTCCCCAGAGTCATCTTCAGGGGAAAAGGGAAACCCCCCGGACGGCCCATGTAAAGCACCTGCCGGGCCCCCTTTCCCTTTTTTTGCCAGATGTAACGGGGCCATAATTTTCAAAAACAAACCCCTTTTGTCAACCTCATCTGCCTCAAAAAGGGGCAAATTTCGAACTTAACCCAATTTAAAATGGCGAGAAAACGTCGATCAAAAGCACCTTCACAGCTTTAGTAGCGTCAAACTCACTCTTTGGAACCTCGCCCCCAAAGAACCCTAAAACGGACTAGAATTTCCCGTTTTTCGAAGATTTTTATAACCCCAATCAGGGGTACACCAACACCTCCTCGTCCTGGGGTTCCATAGGGCTCCCAATGATTGTTGGGGGTAAAACTTTCACCCGAAAGGGGGAAACGCCCCCCGAAACAGCTCAATACCTATTATTTACGCGCCTCCTCACACTCATCGCCATGTTAAAAACAAGGTGGGCTGATACCTTTTCCGACCTTGGGGCGTCACTTTTTTCCCCCTTCTGTTGTATAAAATTTTGTTTTTTTTTTACACGATTTCCCGGGAGGGAAAACCCAAACGGTAAAAGTCAAAGCAAGAGGGGAAGAGGAGGAAAAAAGAAAACAGAAAAATCTAAAGGCTTAAAAAAAAGAAAGAAAAGGGAGTGTTTGACCCAACCAAAAAGCTACCACACTTTTTCTCAAAACCATTCAATGGTTTTTTTGGTGTTTTAACTATTTGGGTATTTCAACTTTTTTAAAAAAAAGGGAAGGAAAAATATAAAGAGCACCGCAAATGTGGCCCCGCACCTCCCCTTGCTACTTTCCCTGGGCCAAACCTCCCCGGCTACTACCCCTTTCGATTTAAATTTTTTTTCCACGGGCCCCCTCCACGACCATTTTGCACGACAAATACCTCCCAAACCCCCCTACCTCCCCGGGCCCCTCCAGTTTTGGCCCCCCCCCCACGTTTTACGTGGCCCACCCAAAGGGTCGGGAAAGCCTGTGGGCCCCCCCCCTACGACGGCCAGTTGGCCCCAACCCCCCAAAAGGGCGAAGACAAAAGAGGTGCCCATATGTGGATCACAAACTGTGGCCCGCACCTAAAAAACCACCCCCCCCATAAAGTGGGGGGCCCGCACCTACACCACGACCCCCCTAAAAGGGGGCCGCACCTACAAACCACCACCCCATAAAAAGGCCAGCACCAAAAACCAAACCCCCCCATAGTTTGGGCCCCACCTACAACCCCACCCCATATGTGGCCAGCACCTACAACCCCGACCCCCCTTGGCCACACCCCAACCCCCACCACCCCATAGTGGCCAACCCCCACGTTCAAGTTGTCAACCCATAGGATCGAGAAAGCGTAAACGAGATGACGTACCTGTGGCCACACGACGTTCAGTTGGCCGACCCAAAGGATCGAAGACTAAAAGAGGTGCTCCATATGTGATCACATCTCCTGTGACCAGCACCTACACTGCCACCCCATATGTGGCCACCAGCACCTCCATGGCCACTTCATCTCATATGACCACATCTTCTGTGGCCAGGACCTCCAGAGCCACCCTAGATGTGGCCACCAGTTCCATGGCCACCACTGATATTCATACAAGTGTTGCTAATGATATTTCAGTGTCAACACCTGCACCTGCTGGGGTGTCAACACCTGCACCTGCTGGGGTGTCAACACCTGCACCTGCTGGGGAGTCAACACCTGCACCTGCTGGGGTGTCAACACCTGCACCTGCTGGGGACTCAACACCTGCACCTGCTGGGGAGTCAACACCTGCACCTGCTGGGGTGTCAACACCTGCACCTGCTGGGGTGTCAACACCTGCACCTGCTGGGGAGTCAACACCTGCACCTGCTGGGGTATCAACACCTGCACCTGCTGGGGAGTCAACACCTGCACCTGCTGGGGCTTCAAGTGCCATAAAGAGAGTGTCATTATTTCGTAAGATGAATCCTGTAGTTAGTGAAAAGAAATTGATGATAATGGAATATAGTAAAATACATGATATCTTAAAGCAAATAATTTGTATGCAGTGTTTTTCTGGAAAAATGGAGGTTACATATTATGAACAACATCTAGAGACAGTTGCTTGTGTAATGTGTCCTGAGTGTGGATATCAGTTGGGGGAAAAACCAGGTTCGTATAAAATACTGAATGAATTAACTGGCAGGATGGTGTATGGGGAAATGTTAGCAGGTCGTGGGTACTGTTCATTTATTCGTAGAAATGCAATGTGCAATTTCCCACATATCACTCAAGTTGCTTATAATAAGTATACTACAATGATAACAGAAAAATCTATTGAGTCATGTAAGGAAATACTTGCTGAATCTAAGGACATTATTGTTCAGGAATATGCCAAACAGAACATTGTACCAGATGACAATGGAATTCTTGACATTGATGTGACTTATGATGGAACATGGCACACAAGGGGACATCACTCAAACATAGGCATTGGTGTTATTATTGATGCCTTAACAAAATTAGTGATTGATTATCAGGTTTTGTGCAAGTTTTGTAGTATGTGTTCCTTTCACAAAAGTTGTTGGAATAAAAAGATAATATCTGATGCAAAATATGAAGAACTGGTAGAAGGACATAAACCTCAGTGCCACAAAAACTATTCAGGAACATCTGCAAAGATGGAAAGTGAAGCAGCAGTAATGATGTGGCAGCGATCCCTTGAAAATAAATTGAGATACAAAACTATAGTGAGTGATGGCGATAGTAACACATATAAAGCCATTGTTGATCTCAAGGATGGTGAAGGTCCATATCCAGGTGTAAAAGTTGACAAAGAGGAATGTATCAATCACTATGTTAAACGTCTCAAGAATAGACTAACAAATGTTGTCCAATCACATTATGTTGATAAAGAATTGAAAACTGGTAAGAAGAGGAAGCAGTATGCCATGAAGAAAAAAGGCGTTCTGACAGACTTCATCATCGAAAAGTTGGCATATTACTTTCAGAAGAACCTGAGAGAGAATGTTGGGACTGATGTTGCAAGCATGAGGAATGGTATCCTTGCAAGCTTCTTCCATTGTTCCTCAAGTGACGAGAAGCCACAGCATCACCTTTGCCCAACAGGTGATGATTCCTGGTGTTTCTACCAGAAAGCAATAGCAGCAAACCTCCCACCACCATCTCACACTACAATGAAAGTACAGTTCCAGCTCGAACCTGCATACATGGAAGAGGTATATAATATTTACCAAGACCTAACAATAGATAAAATGATGCAGCGTTGTCTAAAAGGCAGAACTCAAAACCCTAATGAAAGTCTGCATCAGCGCATATGGTCCTACTGCAGTAAAGCACTATTTCGAACCAAGTGGCAAGCTGATTTCTCGGTCAGCCATGCTGTTGCAGAGTACAATAGTGGATATGTGAGGAGCTGTCTAGACATACCACTTGGCTATGGACGTTTAGCATTGACTCAAAGACAGCTTGAATCAATGGACAAGAACATGCAGGCAGCACGGACCCCAAAATACAAGAAGAGGAAAAGGGGGATGGACACGTCCTACGAGCCTGGAGGACATTAGATAATCATCTATGTCCACCTACTCCTAGTCAAAGGTACGTAATTCATGTGAATTTTTGGTGTATTTATATATTTTTTTGCATATAAATATACATGTGTGCAGTTACATGTATCAGTGAACATAATCTCTGGGAATAGGATTTTGAGCATTTATTTCTTTCTTTTCAGTTTGATTGGGATGGATCGTCATGATTGGCCGGCTGCCAGAGAACTTCAGGATGAAGGGATCTTCATGGAACTTCAGGAATATTGTCCATACAACCAGTTCTACTCTCAATAAACGTATAAATGCACCATGAGTATTTTTACCCACTGTATATTAAGGCTCAATGCATTTCTTTATCTAGAAAATACATTTTTTGGCATATCTAATGATAATGTACCATTATTTATGAGCTGATCATTATGAGTTTTATACAGTTTATTCAGGGACATTGTTTGACTTTTTGGTAAATAGCCATTGGGTAATAATTCCTTCCATTTTCTCATACCATGGGTGTGCAGTGCAAAAAAAATTATGATAAATTAGACACATGTGCAACACTTGGGTATCTTTATTGAGGAAACGTTTCGCCACACACTGGCTTCATTCATCTACAAAAAAAAAAAAAAGTTATGAAGACTTCTTTCTTTGTACCATAAAACATATTACATTATTTCCTTTTACCAGAAAATCAATTTGTAATTGCTTTATCATTCATGATTATCAAAAATATTTTCGAGATTGCCAATATTGACCATCATTGCTATAAATGTTGCAATGTCCAACTGTTCACAGTTTCATTATATATAGCTTGATTTACTGGACAATATTGATGCAACTTTAACTATATAAATTTCAACATGCCTAGAGTCTGTGGTAAAAATTTCAACGAAATCATACAAAGGAGAAAAAAAAAAAAGTGTGGAACAGGCCCCTGAAAAACATTTAAAACTGGATTTTTTTCCCCATATATCGAAATATGGAATAAAAACTTCTAGAATTTGGGTGCAACACGAAAGTTTTTTCAAACCCCTTTTCAAACAGAAGTATTGCTAATTGATCTTGCTCCCTTTAAAGCCCGGGACCACCCAAAACGGGCAAGCCTAAATTAAATTTTCCCATCCCCCACCCCACAGGGCCCGTATAATCCACGGATTTAGCCCCCCAATAATGATAATAATAATAACCCCCCCCGCTGCACCCGATGCCCAACCCGGGATCCCTCTCTTGCTCCCCAAATATCTCTGTATCCTTCCTTCCCCCTGCGGTGTTGACCTTGTTTTTAGCGTTTTTTTCGATTATAATGTTTGGCTTTAATTGGTTAAACTACTGGATAATTTTTTAAAATTTACAAAGACAATGAAATCATTTAGGAACGAGGGTCCCACCCGGGAAAAGGTCCCTTGTTTGGGGGGGGGCTCTTGATTTGGGGAAATTTAAATTTTGTTGCTCCATTTCCCCGAATTAAGCCTAAAAACCCCATCCACACCCCCCCCCCTCGCAGGCTTTTTATAATCCTAGGGGTTTTCGCGTTTCCCCCCTTTTTTTTTATAATAAAATATTTAGGAAAAAGGGTGGACTCGCACTTCCCCGGGTTTTTAAAAAGTAAACTAGAAACATCGACCTTCAGTCAGAACATTTTAAAATTTAAAGATTAAATTTATTGGGATTTTTAATCCGAAACGTTAGCCAAAAATTTGAAACTATTTTAAAATGTAGGGGAAACCCGTAAATTTTTAAGTTTATAGTAAGATTTTAAACTGTGAGGGAGGAAAAAAAAAGCGAGCAGTTCCCTTGGCCCCTTTTATACTTCAGGCAACTACGACTGTTACCTAAAATAAACAGTTACCCTGGCCCTTGATACTTCAGAAACTACGACTATCCTAAAACAAAACCCTTTAAACCCTGAACCTTTGGGATTCTTCATGCAACACGGGACTATACCCCCCTAAACAGTTCCCCCTGGCCCCTTGATTTTTTCATGCAAAACTCACAAACCCTACACTAAACATTACCACCCGGCCCCTTGAAAATTAATTTGCAACTACTGAATATACCTACACAAAAAATTTCCCCCCCTGGGTTTCTTGATACTTCATGCAACTAAAAACTATACCTACACAAAAACAGGTCCCCCTGCCCCTTGAAACTTCATGAAACTACTAAACTTTTCCTTACACAAAAACAGATCCCCCGGGGCCCCTTGATATTTCATAAAACTACGGGCTATCCCTTAAACACTAAAATTTACCCGGGCCCCTTGATACTTCATGAAACTACTAAACTATTCCTACACTAAACATTTAAACCCGGGGGCCCTTTAAAAATTTCCCTGCAACTATCCCTATATCTACAATGGGGACATTTAAACCCTAAACCCCTTGATATTTTCATACAATACTAAACTGAAACCTACACCAAAACATTTTCCCCTGGCCCCTTGAAAACTTCATGCAAATATGACTATACCTACACTAAACATTTACCCGGGGCCCTTTAAAACTTCATGAACTACTGACTTTTTCCTACACAAAAAACAGTTCCGGGGGCCCCTTGATACTTTCATGAAAATTTCCACTAAAACCCAAAACAAAACGCTCCCCGGGGCCCTTTGGGATACTTCATGAAAACTATTTCACTACACCTACACTAGAAATTTCCTGGCCCCTTGTTTCTTAAAGAAAATTTCGGGCCCTATAAACCAAACACAAAAACGGTTACCCGGGGGCCCTTGATATTTTCATGCAACTACTCACTATACCTACATTTAAAACAGTTACACGGGGCCCCTTGATACTTCATGAAACAAATGACTCCCTACATTAAATATTTCCCCCTGGCCCTTTTGATACTTCATGAAACTACTGACTATACCTACACTAAACAGTTACCCAGGGAACCCTTTTGATACTTCATGCAATTTACGGATAAAACCTCCCCCACTAAAAAGTTACCTAGGCCCCTTTGGGGGAAAATTAAGCTTTAAAATATTCACTATCCCTACAAAAACCCGTTACCTAGGCCCTTGTTTCTTCTGAAAACAAAGACTTTTACCAAAATTTAAACAGTTCCCTAGGACCCTTGTTTTTTCCTTTGCAACTACTAAAAAACCCTTTCACAAACCCAGTTACCTGGGCCCTTGATACTTCATGCAACACGACTTTAAAACACTAAACAGTTCCCCTAGGACCCCTTGATACTTCATGCAGCTACTGACTAACCTACACAAACGTTCCCTTTGGACCCTTGATATTTCACGCAATTTTAACTGACTATACCTACATTTAAACAGTTACCTGGGAAACCCTGTTTACTTCATGCAACTACTGACTAAACCTAACAAAAACCCTTTTACCGGGGGACCCTTAAACCCTTCATGCAACTACTAAACTATACCACACTAAACAGTTACCTAGGACCCTTAAAATACTTCAAAAACTACTGACTATCCCAAAAAACTAAACAGTTACCGGGGAAACCCTTGATACTTCATGAAAACTACTGACTATACCTACACTAAACAGTTCCCTTGGGCCCCTTAAATAACTTCATGAAAATACTGACTATCCCACTAAAAGTTCCCCTGGGGCCCCCTTGTACTTAAATTGCAAATACGACTATACCTACAAAAAACAGTTACCTTGGCCCCTTGATATTTCTTTAAAATACTGAAATACCTACCAAAACAGTTACCTAGGCCCCTTTGATATTTTAAAATGAAAATACTAAATAAAACCTACACAAAACCCATTTAAACCTTTGGGACCCTTGATACTTCAGGGCAACTACTGACTATACCTACACTAAACATTTACCTAGGACCCTTGTTTCTTCATGCAACTACTGACTAGCCCAACACAAACATTTACCTGGACCCTGTTTAATTCACGAAAACCTATTTGATTTAACCCTACACAAACATTTACCTAGGACCCTTGATATTCATGAAAAACTACGGGACTAAAACCTAAAAACAAAAACATTTAAATTTGGGAAACCCTTGATTTTTCTTTGCAAACTACTGACTAAACCAAACACTAAACATTTTACCTAACCCTTGATACTTCATGAAATATGATTTAAAACCTACACAAAACAAAAAAACTTGGACCCTTGATATTTTCATGAAACTACTGCCCTTACCTAAACTAAAAAGTTACCTAGGCCCTTAAAACTTCATGAACTACTGCTTTACCTACACAAAACCCGGGTTACCAAAGGACCCTTAACTTCTTTGAAATTTACGGGGACTAACCTACACTAAACAGTTACCTGGGGACCCTTGATACTTCATGAAAACTACGGGAAATACCTACACAAATTTTTAAACCTAGGACCCTTGATATTTCATGAAACTATAAATATCCCTTTCACTAAAAAGTTACCTGGGGCCCCTTTTTGTTAAAAACTTCATGAAAACAAATGACTAAAACCTACACTAAACAGTTCCCCTATGCCCCTTTGATACTTCATGCAACAAATGCTTTCCTACCCCTTAAACAGTTACCTGGCCCCTTTGTTATTTTCATGCAACTCGGACTTATACCTCACTAAACAGTTACCTAGGACCCTTGATACTTCATGAATTTCTGCTATACCTACATAAACATTCCCTAGGCCCCCTTGATATTTTCATGCAACTACTGACTTCCCTACACAAAAACAGTTACCCTAGACCCTTGATTTTTCATAAAAACTGGGGGACTATACCTACACAAAACAGTTACCTAGGCCCCCCTTGGGATATTTCATGCAACTACGGGGACAAAACCACACAAAACCATTACCTGGGCCCCTTGATATTTAATGAAAACTACGACTATCCCTAAAAACTAAACATTTTACCTAGGCCCTTGAAAACTTCATGCAACTACTGACAAACCCTCCCACTAAACGTTCCCTTTAGGACCCTTGATATTTCCCATGCAATACGACTAAAACCTACACTAAACAGTTACCTAGGCCCTTGATACTTCATGAAAACAAACTGACTATACCTACACTAAACAGTTCCCTAGGCCCCTTGTCCCTTTCCATGAAACCCTACTGACAAACCTACACTAAACAGTTCCCTAGGCCCCTTGAACTTCATGCAACTATTTGGCCCCAAAATACCTACACTAAACAGTTACCTGGCCCCTTTTGATACTTCATGCAACTATGACTATACCTACACTAAACAGTTACCTGGGGACCCTTGATATTTTCCATGAAAAACACTGACTTCCCTTTACACTAAAACTTTTCCCTTTAGGCCCCTTGATACTTCATGCAACTAGGGACTATCCCTACACTAAACGTTACCTGGGC